CGGGGAGGCGAGGGAGCCCGCCCGTCCGTCCGTCCCTTGGGTGGACGCAGTGGGGCGTCTTCTGCCCGCTGGCCGCCCGGCGCGGGAAGCCTCACAGCGGCCGGTGCGGCCCGGTTGCGGTCTGCCGGGGACGAAGCGGGCCAGGAGCCCCCAGTGCGCTTGATTCTGCCTTCATATCCCTTGAATCTCAGGCGCCTCGGAGGCTCATGGCCCGGCATCCTGCGCCCTGCCACTGTGCTCTCTCTGCCTTTGCCTTGGTTTCAGCTGCAGCAGAGTTAATTCTCTGCCTAGGATCTGGTGCAGCTCTGAGTTTCACCTTTACTCTGGGAATAGAGCTGGTAACGCACCGATGTTTCAGTTGTTGCTTGGTCGCACTTAAACCGGTCAAGGTGATGTGGACTATTGTACAAGGGGGGTTAGGTAAATTGTACAGGGGGGTTGTACAGGGGGGTATTGCTTAAGTTGCATGGCTTACTCAACAGATACATCGCTCAGCAAAAAACTATTGTGCCTTACCAAGAGAGTTAGGGTTAAGGAATGATTTATTAGGGGCTGCAGCTGCTTGCTAAACAATGTACATTGCTTGCTTAACGTTTCTTGTGCTTGCCAAAGGAGGATGGGAGGATGCAAGGCTATTGATAAGAGGAAGGAACCGTAACTTGGTTCCTGGTCTCTGGACCCCTAAACCGGCTGAGGCTATCTTTGCGGTTGGATGGTGGCCAAACAACCAGGGAGCACGAGCGACGACTAAAGGTAAAAAGTTCAGGTCCGAGGAAGACTCATTTACCTTATCTGAAGACCCTTGCCCACGACCACGAGGAGGCACTGCGCATGTGCAAAGGACCTTTGAGCTCATTATACTACGAAGCAGGGATAGGACATGACTATGTATAGGTGTATTGTGTAACCTAATGCATATGTAGTACTTTAGAGGATAAATATCAAGGAGAGCAACGCTGGGGTGCACATGCTTTTGGAGGAGCAATCCGCCATGCGCCTCAGCTGAATAAAGGCATACCTACTTTACAACTTTAACGAGTTGTGGAGTCTGTCTCCGTATCAGAGGACTTTTGGGTCCCTCGCGTTCTGCCTGTGAGGAGGGGCACAAGGAGCCGGGAGGGAGCAGAGACAGGACACCGGACCTGAGCTGGCCAAAGGCGTATTCCATCCATACCACAGCACATCATGCTCGGTACTAGGGGGAGTAAAGAAACTGGGGTGAGTTACTCGGAGGGTTCTCAATTCACCTGTATCTTCATTGACAGGGAAAGGGGCGAAGATGGAAATACCCGTTTAGAAACTAGACAAGGAATTCCCTGTTCCTCGCTTCCATTCTAAGATTGCAGTTATTTTGGAAATGAGAGTGTTCACAGTAGCTTAGGATGCTGAAAGATCTGGAGACTGAAATTCTCTCTCCAGGAAAGCAGTGAGGTCTGCAGCAGGGCAGGGCTCATTGCCCTCCTTTTGTTCTGCAAATACACCTTGGTGAGTTGTGCCCTGAGGGATCCCACTCAGCTCATCACAGCTTTTCTGTTGAGACTGTCAGGGAGGATTTCAGTCATTGCTGCTGCTGCTCTCCTGGTTTCCCCCGTTTGGACACCTGCCTTGCTCCAATAAATGCATTAGGTTTCTTCATAAATGCTTCCTATTCTAGGTGCAGAGACAGCATTATGAGGGAGCTGATCCAGATCTTGATCTGTCTTGCAAGGTGCTTGTAGCAGGAGTTGCATCGAGTTACCAGACTTGGTGACTTTAGGCCTTCTCTGTTTATGCTGAATGATTTCAAGGCTCAACCTGTTGAGAACAGGCAGAATCTTTATTTGCTCTGCTGCTGATTTGCCCTGGCCGTTGAGCTGAAGGCCTTAGTTGTGGGAGCAGTTGGTCTAAGGCCTGCTCATGGAATTTTCTGCCATGTAAAAATTATGCTGTCTAAAGATAAAATGGAGTTTCTCTCATTAAAGCTTTACAAATGCCCTTTAAATCCTATTGCTTTTAATGTATGAGACAGCTGTGGATGGCCCAGTGAGCAAGTATCCTTTAGTACTTAAGTACCCCGCAGCAGTCGAGCAGAGTGTCTCAAACCAGTTCTTAAGGCTCCTGTTATGTAGAGCTCCTCAGTAATTTAGCTAGGCAAAGAAGTCTGTCTTTCATGGAACTGATTTTGGACTCAAATGTACTGTGTGATTTCTCCCATCTCTAAACCGCCCTGCACTAAAGCTGTGTTAGTTGTGTTAAATTCTTACTCTTCTTTAAGAGAAAAGTAAGGGGGAGGCAAGGAGCGATTGCCCAGTCATTGCTGCTTTACCTGCCGATCCAAAGTGAAGAGGTCTTTTCTTTTTTGTCACTAGAAAAGTAAAGAATAGTCTTTTCCCAAATCCCATTGAGAGGCTGGATTCTCACATCATGAATGTGTCTTGCAGCTTCAGCAATCAAATTTGGGGAGGAGGCTACAGAGTCCAGTTTGGGGCATTTCCTCAGAGTGGGTGGGAAACAAAACGCACGTAGTTAATTCTGCTATGTATTCAGCATTCCCAGTTTTCCCCTTTTCAGTCTGTTGCTCAAGCTCTACGTGATGAAGATTGTCCTTTGATGATCATTCCAAGCAGGCCTTGTGAGTGGTTCTATTTCTTACACACATCTTAGCAGACTGTAAGCGTTCACATGAAATCACAGCTCCAGTCTGAAAAGTGTTCTGTGGCAAGACCACGAGGAGCTGGCTCTTACCTGGCAGTGGCCTCCATTCAGTTTTAAACAGTTTGAAAGTATGAAGCTTTATCATCATTTTTTCTAGAGAGCCATCCATGGACACTTGGAGTGTGATTGGGTCAAGCTGAGCTCTTTCTTGCTCTTGAATCATTACTGATAAGAAGTGGTTTACGGTGCAAACTCTTCCTTCCAAAACATGTGAGCACCCAACCGAACCCAAGCCAACCTGTTGGCAGGAAGGAAATGCCACGACTGTAGGAAAGCTCCTCTGGGCAGCTGTTGAAGTTCAGGTGGTGCTTGAGCCCAGTTAACCGGGCAGCTTGCTTTTCAGTGCTGCACATAGTGCTGCCTATGGAGGGCAGCAGAGGAATTAAGGGGACAAAAAGCTGGTTTTGTCACTGTGGTCAGCAGGTGCTTTTGAGTAGACAGGCAGAGGTCTCAGAGCTCAAGAGTGTCTGTCACTGACCTAGAAGCTCATGCAAATAAGGAAGTGCTGTTATTTTTTTCCATGCTTTAAAATAGAGATTGTGTAAAGCAGGCACAGGCTGTCAAAAAGAGAAAATAATGGATGAAGCGATAAAGAATTAAAAATCTGTATGAAAAATGATGTACTGACCCAAAAGACAGAAAATCATTTGCAAAGAAGTTCTTACCTTCTTTTTGCCTACAGCCAGAGGTGAAGATCACAGAGGGAAGAAAAGAGACATGTTAGTTAAGTGTTTCCTGAGAATAAGTGGGGGAGTAGATATTGCAGACTGAATATTGAGCCCAGGCATCAGTGCTTATTGGATCCTGATAAGGAAAGTGCAGAACCAGTAGATAAAGGTGACGTACAGCTTGTAGGAGGACTGACCTACTCTTCCCTTTGGAATGAAACCAAGGATTTGGTGCAGCAAAGAGCAGGGCAACATAAATGAGTATGTGAACGTCTGTCCTTGTCTCTCTCTTTTATAAACTCCTCCTCTCTCTGTCTTACCCATAGTTTCTGTCTTTTTTTCCATTGCTTCCTTTTTCCATTGCTTTCCATTTCTGCTTTCTTTTGGTATTTTGAATAGTTCTTAAGAGATGCTTCCTGGACTTCTCCATGAAGAGTGGTGTGCTAGCTGTGGCAAATCAGACTACCTTCAAAGATGGAAGAGGGAAAACAAGAAACGTAACCGACCTCAGGGGAGCTGCAAAGTAGGTTTTACCCTTCTTAAGTGCTTGTGTGTTGGATTCTGAGACTGTGAAATAATTTAGGAATTGAAAAACAAAGATCAGAATCTGTTGTATCAAATGGCTGAGGGTACCCGGACGAGACTTCCTGGTCGATGGTTTCTGTGCCTGAGCACTTGCAAAGTTCCAGTAGGGAAAACCAGCACTGTGTTATGCAGAAATGAGCAAGGAGCCAAAAGCTTTAGTGTTCCTCAGAATGACTGTCAGTTTTGAAAACATTCCACTTGGTTTTCCTAGCCAAAATTAATAGCAAGGGAAGTTAAAGGAGGTTCAAATTGAAGTCTTCATGCAGCAGGACTCGGGCCAGCCAGTGATGGCCTCAGCTCTTCCTTCCTACAGCAGCCTTCCTAGTACTGTGGATTGTCCTAGTACTTTTGCATCTCACCTCATCAGCATGCTCCTGTTTTAGCACACGTCTGAAGTTCAAAAGGCAACGTCCTGGGCTCTGATGCCAGACAGCACCTCCCTTGCAGATGGACAGCAAGCATCTCCAATGCTGGGTAGCAACCAGCTACTCTCCATCCTCAGCCTGTCTGGAGCACAGGGGTACCTTTTCTTACCTCTGGATCTGAGGCTGCCGCATTCTAGCACCTTCCCAGCAGTGCTAGCACCCGCACCTTAGGAAGTTTCCTTCTTCTGGCATCTACAACTACATTGTTTGTTCTTTGACAAGATGATTCTTCATTTCTTCTTAGGAAACGTTAATATGGGCAAGCACTTTGCAGGATAGGAAAACAACTCCAAGAAGTCCTCCTTTTGCTTCACTGAGCTGTTTTCTGCTTCTCTGCTATTAGCAGTCTTGTCTTTTCTCAGCAGCATCAGTAATATCCTGGATGCAAGATCAATTGGAGTAAAAAGTTTTGAAGACTATGCTATTTCTTGGTACTGGATTTTAATGTAAGATTCTAATGGGTAATTTTATGTTTTTTCCAAACTCACTGTGGAATGTGTAGGGAATTGAAGAATTGACCACGTACGTGTTTGTTACCAAACCTACTTTTAAGCTTTGCCATAATGTTGTTATGGTTCTGTATGTGAGGTAAGGATAGCACAGCATACATGCATACAGTATGGTCTGGAGTAGCTTTTGAATATCCTACCAGGCAGAAAGCCAAGAGGTGCTGCTGTCTTCTGTTGCAGGACCCATCTGCATGGTAATTCCAAACCTAAAAATTCTTGATTACGAGACTTTCAAACCAATTGCAGTTGCTAAATGTCGTGAGTATCTATATAAAACACATCCCAATTTCCAAACGGATACTAGCAATATGTAGTTAAATTCATTGTAATACACAAATCCAGTGCAGCAGGCAAAGCAACTTAAAGAACAAAAACTACTGAACAGAGTTAGCTTTATCTTGCAATTCTTACTCAATAACGAGCAATTAGTAAAAATGCAGCACCAAAACAAAAGAAGTAGCTATTTTGCTGAAGCAGATCTGTGAGTATATATGCCTAAATGGCCGTTCTCTCTCGATCTGTTATTGAAATCAGACTTATGGTGAAGATTCTCTCAAAGGAGATGCTGCTCAACAGATGGGCTGGCGAGAGAATTGACCATTTTCTGAACAGACTTTCTCCATACTGAAGCCAGTTTCCCCATTTCAAATAGGATACTTTTATAAGGGATTGTTGTTACTTTTAAAGTAGTTGGGTAGAATTTTCCTCACACTTTTCACCAAATGACAGCATGCATCCAGTGATTTCTGGGCAAACATATGAAAGTGCCAGAGTTTGGGTGATGAGAGTGAAGGCCTGATGGTGAAAGGAGGTGGGATTAAAAATCTAATATGGAATTGCTCTGTTCTTTTTATCCTACTCCCAAAGAACTGCTGCTTTCAAGGCTCAGTTTAAGGGAAGCACTCTATTAATGACAGTTGTTACCATGTATTCATTCAGTTTTGGTGTTACTAGAGCAAATCTGAAGCTAACCGTAGATAAAGGTATCTTACTGCCTTGAAGAAGAGAGTCAGGAACTCCAAAATGACAGTGCTTTTTTTGAGGAATACATTCTGAATTTCAAACAAGCCATTCAGAAAGGGAACACGCATCATGCTGGGAAGCCTCTAAGGGGCTAGGACTTAAGACCAGTTTGCAAAGGCTTAACTAAATAAACTGATGTTCTTTTTCTTGTCCCTCTGCCCGTCTGGCTTAGTTTGCCCAAGACATCCGGTTTTGATTGTTTGTGGTCAGGCTGACCCGTTTGTTATCTTTAGTCACTGGCTAAATAAACTGGGAACGTTCAGAAGAGAAGTTCCTGACCACAGGGAAGAAAAGGGTTTCATTTCTTTTTGTTCTAACACAAAATTCTGATGTAACACCTCAGAGTTGTAGAGAAATGAAATGTTCTGTGAAGCGTCTGAGCTGGATCTTTGTTGGATGGAACCATTGTTCCCACTGCTTTATTTGCATTGCTTTAGAAGAAACCCGCTGAGTAAAGGCCTTTTGCAGTCATTCTTTCCTTTCTGACTTGCTTTCTGGGAGTGAAATGAAAGCAAATGTTTCCTTAGCACAGACTTGATAAAGACACTGGAGATGTCCATCCTAGGGGTCCCACTGATGGCTCTGAACAGGTTCTTTTTATGCATCACTATGCCCTGATCATTTTCTTCTCCGATGGGTAGAAAGGATCACTGGTTTTCCTCCTAAAATGAATTCTTTTTTTTCTAGGAAAGCTCCTCAAATGTTACTTTCGTAATACTGTTTCTGTGCAAGCAGGGATTTTAAATGGAGGACATAAACCAGTAACCTCCCCACACACAGGTATTTCTCCCATTTAAGTTTGTGTGCTGTAGAGTAGGCCATGGCCTGGAAAAGGCAGTGAGTTGGTCAGCCAGTGTAAATGACCAAACCAGACGTGTGCTGGTCCCATTCAGACGCCCTGAGAACTCGGTGTACGCAGACAATTCTGGCTGTGTCCAGATCATCATATATAATCTGTTTCTAACAGCAGAGAGCCATGAGGAAATATTTCATAAGGAAGATTTTGAAATACATTTTTGCAAACCGTTCTCCTACACGAGACGAAGGGACCCTCATTTGGAGTAAGAGGCGTGCAAGAAAGACGCTCATACTTGTTCTCCCTGGGTTTCTGTTTCTTGTCTTTCTAGTGGGCTGTTCGTTGCAATGATTGTGAGTCTGCTCTTCCTTGTGTTATTGAGGTTCACAGCTGGGATTCTCTTCTGGATTTTCATCTTTGGCGTGACTGGAATTATAGGTTATGGTAGGTGTAATCCTCCAGGCTCTGAGGCTGTTTTTCCTTATTGCTTGATTTTGGGCAAGGAAAGTAAGTGATTACATCAGTTAAATGCTGTAGTTGGGAGAACTAGTGCCTAGGTTTAGACTCCATTAAATGAGAAGGGCCTAAATGGCAGCAAAATTTAGTAAGAATCCAGCTGTGCTGATACTTAGCCCCAGATGTAGTAACCCCTATTTACCCCCAGTGTACTTAGTCCGCTTTCACTTGTACTGATCTTTCTTATCTGTAGATGTGATGTTATAGCTGGCTAGTCTCGCAGTAACGCGTGTTTAGTTTTGCTTCCCTGACATGCTGAGGACAAAACGCTTCACTTGTCAAAGATTTAAATAACCCCAACCTTGTCTTTGCACTCTTCAAAAACGCTCGTTTGATATTGATTGATTTTTAACAGGCATCTGGCATTGTCGCTGGGAGTACGACCATCTTAAAGGAGTACCTGGATCTGAGCTCACTGTTTCTGGTACTGGATTCCAGACAGACTTGAGAGTGCACCTGCAGCTGAGGCAAACATGGTTAGCATTTAGTAAGTGCCCTTTAAACTTGGTATCCGTTAAGGGATGTTCAGAAGATTCAGTCGCTGTCTTGCTACAGTTTCTGCCTTGTTAAATCTCCTCCTCTACATATGTTGCTCATAGAAGTAATCAGAATTCACTTTCTTTGTATAGTAGTACAAAAATCTACCTTTTCTGCAAAGCGACTAGCGTATGTGTAAGGGGCCAGAATGCAGTCGCACTAGTGATGAGAGTGAAAAAGGCTTGTGTTACTAGCATTCTACTTCCCGTGTGTTCAGTCTTCACAATGGGGAAGCAGAAGGCAAGAACTAAGTCCCGATGAAGATAAGGAGGGGCATTTTTGTCTCTCAGTCTGTTTATGCCCCCTCCTGGAGGGCCCCAGAAATGAGACGAATAACTGTGTGCATCTTTTGTAGACCTGTTTACATTCAGGTGACTGCATTTTCTTGGAGGCTGTCCTGAGGCTGTGTAATGAGCCATCACAAATGTCATCACTTCTGGTTTTCAGAAGTGCTTCACTGCTTTCTCTTACAAGGGCAGTGTATTTAAAACAATCCTACTGGAACAAGACAAGGAGGGGCACAAGAGAGAACAAATACCTGTCAAATACTATTTGTGCTGCTGTTACTACTCTATTAGCAGGCCCGCAGGCACTAACTGATGATGAATGGCACATAGCCTAAAGCACTGCTTCTCCCTATTGGTAGCTAAATGAATAGAGCAGTAGTTTACTCCTTTAGTCTGCTTTCTCTGCTTTGTGTCTTCAAGTAACTGTGTTGGATCATTGAGCTCAGGAGCATCTTTGCATATTGTTGAGGCAGAGCTTTTTAGCATGCTGGCCCTAGAGAATATTAGGATTTTCTTACATCTTTCCGTGTAACTCCCCTGCCTGATTCTTAGCAGCCACTGTACAGTTTATCCAGAGGTCAGTGTCACTTTCAGATGAGTGAATTGAGGTACTACTAATGGGGACAAGGTACGTTAACTTAAGAGATCTGAACTGGGCTGAGACCAACTGCAAAGCAACCTGCCTATGTATTCCTTCATGGAGAACCATATCAAAAATAGGTGCTGAAATGTGTGTAACAAAACCTTTGTTCTGAAGAAAGTCTGTGGCTCTGAGCACCCCAGGGGTCACTTGCCACGTGCAGTTCTGATGGCTAGGGGTACTGCTCTCAGTACTGGGGATCGCAACTGAACATCATCTCTGACTATCTGGGTCTGGATTCTGAGGCTGTGTCAAAGCTGTGGGACCTGAAGCCAATTCCCCTGTCCCTGTGCAAACCTCCAGACGCCACGGCTGAGGGATACCTTCCCTTTGTCTTCCTCTCCCTCCACAGAACTCTTGGTTTCAGCTGGAGGAGACAGGGCCTGCTGTGTGTAACCATCCAGCACCGCTGGGCTGGTTTAATTGTTGTCTAACCCTCTGAGGCACCCAGAATTAAGGGATGTGTCTCAGGGTGAGAGGAGGTGTGCTTCAGGCATTTAAGACTCTGCCTTCTCGAGGTGGAGTCCAGAGAATTCTTTTGCTTCCTATTGCAGCAGTAGGATTTGAAGTGACACAAATAGAAATCAGAGAGAAGCCAACTCTTTAAACAAGATCTGGGTTATGAATCAAACACTGCTCACAACTAAGAGAGGAAATGTTTCGGGACATGGTGCTCTCAGCTCTCTAACCTTAGAGCAAGCTTGTGTGATTCCAGCATCACAGCTGGAAGGTGAAAATCATTTGACCAAAACTGGACCAAAAAAAAACCAAAGCCCCTTTGTTTTCAGAAGTGCTTCACAAAGCCTCTTTGTTTTTTTTGACTAAGTACACGTAAATGTTAGAGGAGTATGTATCAGAAAACTGCACTCTTCAGGAAAAGTTGACTCCTCATCTCCTTTTTATTTGTTGTATCTAAATACTACAGATGAGCAGCATTAGAGTATAAACATGCAAACTGCTTGTTATGAAAAGCAGAATTTGATAGGGGTGAACTGGCAGGGTCGTGCCCATTCTGACTCTCTAACCTTAGAGCAAGTTTGTCATAATCATACTGATGCTGATCTTCCTAAGGAATCGGATCCTGATCGCCATTGCATTGTGCTTATAAGAGCTTTCTCGTTTGCAGTAAGACATTTCTTATCTCCCAGCTCCCTGCCTTAAGAGTACAGACGCTGTTAGCGGCCCCATGTATCCTGGGTGCAAGGAGGTGTGTGCCAAGTGTGGGGCACTGTTAATAGGAGCCTAAGAGCTACAGCTGCCAGCTTTGCTCTGTCATTGGATTGTCTCCAGAGAGACATATACTAGTGGTAGAGGAGTGGTGTTGTTTTGGCTGGGGCTTTTAATTTAGGAAAGACCTTTTTTTCTGGAAATGCATAAGTCTGCAGAGGGAAAAGGGGAATTCCACGACCAGACATTGTGATGTGGTGTGGTCCAAGGCTCTTCTTTTCAGCTCTGCTTACAAAGGAAAGCAGAGCAGGATGTGAGAGTTGGGAGGCCTCTTCATTTTGTGTTTTCTGAAATCCGGATAGGCTTTATTCACAGTGGTTCCTGGTTTATCCAGTGCCAACTCTTAGTTGTGGTTTGAGTTTGGTTTGGGTTTGCTTTCATGGGAATATAAGAAAGGAGAAATGGACTTAACACGCCCTTGGTGGATTTAACTGCAAATAAGCTAAGGCCTTGAGGGCCTCGGAAGTAGAGCTCTGTTAGAGCACATGGAGTTAGCTCTGAGTTTCTCTGTGTGCACTTGCTTGTAGTTTTCTGCCCTCTCTGTTGATGTTATGGTTCTCAGGAGTCAGGGTTTAGGATTTTTGTAATGGGATTGGGAAATGCTGAGGTTCTGCCTTCAGCCAGGTACCTGTTTCCTGTCTTATGCTCCTGTGCAGTTAAAGCATTGCAATTAATTAATTATCTGTGTACCTCTCTGGAGGAACAGTCTTCTGGTCTACAAGACCGGATAAGTCTCTGCTTTCACCTTAGCCAAACCAGCCTTAAAAGGGCTATTTGGTCACTTGGCACTTGCTGCACCGGTGCACTCTTCCTCACTGGGCATTTGCGTGTGATGTACCAACTGGATAGTGAATTCAGTGTCATTAGAAAGAACTGGACTAAAACCCATGCCAAGGTAGAGGATCATACAAGGTCTTTTATACTACATAAGGTTGGCTTCAAGGGGTGAAAAAGGAACCTCAGCAAAGAGTGACTATGCCCTTTCTTGGCTGTATGCTCTGTGAACCTGATGTTAATGGTCGCTTAGTTAGCTTGGGTGGGCTCCACGTGTGTTTTGTACAGAATAATGTAGGGAAGGAGTGAGAGAACACAGAGCGCCCGGAGTCCTCTGAATTGCCTGACAGCAGCCATTGTCTGTCCCTGGAAAGGCAAGGCTTTGGTAAAGTGTCAGAAAGGGGACAGTCACGTTTTGCAAACAAATTGTTCTTTGTCATGCAAAGAGGGCCATGGCATACAGCTCTGGGATGAAGTCTGCCTGAGTTCTGTAAGTAATGAAAGTATTCAGTCTTGTCTGTGGCCCTTCATACACATCTCTGCATAGCAAGAGCGTTTTTCTGTGAGCGGCACAAGTGTTCTAGAGCTTGTGGTTACCCCCTGCAGACTCCTGAGTTGCTCAAAGCCCACAGCTCTGGGATTCCTCCTTGAAAAACCTCATTCAGTTTTCTGGCTACATCAGGAGAACCTGTGTATAAAGTAATGGCTAATCCAACACCATGCAAGTATGCAAAGCTGACTTGTGACCCAGAGGGAGGTGTTACAAATACTTCCCTGCTGTGAGAGCTATCCTAATTGTATTTCTTAATCGCTGTTAAATGCAATGTGAGAAAATGTGCGTACCTTAAGTAATGATTCCTCATGTTAAATCTGAAAATAGTGCTTCGTGTTCAGCTAAGACTCCTTTGTTCAAAGCAATTTAGAGCTATGAAGCATTTTCTTTGTGCAGTGTCCTGTGAGCAGGTGAGTATCAACCAGCCTCATTTTCTGGGTGAGAAAAGAAGACGCAGAAATAGAGGTTTATTTGGAAAAGTGTTCCTGAATTCATGAGGATTTCTGGTTTTGTGGTTCTCAAAAGGCAGTGGAAGAATTTGAAAGCTGTGCCTCAGACTTGCCCAAAGAGCAGCCAGGTTTCAAAGCAGAGGCTTGGCTGCTTTTGCACAGTGATGACCTTTATGAAGCTCCAGAAATACTTGTCTTTTGACTTGAGTGTGGGGTTGAATTGAAGTGTTTCTTGAAAACTAGAATTATTTATCAAATGTTATATCAAGGTTATTTTCAGGTGTTTAAATGTCAATGCACTGCTGTGGTTAGGTACATCCCAGACAATTCCCCAGCATCCTGATACCCGAACACTAAAAAAAAGGGATTAGGAACTGACTGGTTTTATTTAACGCCCAAACTGAGCAAACGCATGAATTGAACAACAGAAGTAAGGAAGAGTAATTTCATGTAAAGACTGCTCCTGTTTTAATACCGTGAGATGGGTAAGGGAAGCTGTGCAGCTTGCACAGAATGTGGCAGCTCAGCTCAGAATGGCTCAGCTCAGTTGATTTCAGCTCGGTTGTGGTGATTTGCACAAGCCTCTGGTTTTGACTTACCCTCTGGTTTTCAATTGTTCTTATTTCCTCACTATTACTTTTTATGTGAGCAGCTTTTCTTTAATGAAACGGAAGCGTTTGTGTATCTTAAAAGTATATTTCTGACATTCAAATTCCATATCTCTGGGTTTCAGTCGTGTGGTAAGCAGCCCTGTTTGCCAACCGTATAGTTTAAAGTTAAACACCTGCATAGGACATGAGTCCTTATATATGCAAACAGGTTACATAGTACTGGAGTGCAGTGTTGAATGATCTAATGAGACATCAAGCAGAATGATGTGATTTGTATGAAGCTGCTAAATTTCAGAGCCTGTGGACACACAGGATTCAGTGCTTATCATTGTGGTGTTGATTTTTCTTCCCGGACAGGCTTTTAGCACAACCAAGGTGACTGAACTGTGTGCAGGTGCTCAGCGTACTTTTGCTTTTTATGGAGGAGAAAGCGCGTACCTGAGTACCTCTTCATCTTCCAGGTAGCCGATGCCTTTGTCTTTCTCTGGCTGGTGAACTTTGCAGTTGCACTGGGTCCACGGACCCTTGCTGGTGCCTTTGCCTCTTGTTCCTGGGCCTCTGGCAAACCAGCTGATGTTCCACTATGGCCACTCTTCATTGGAACAAGCAATGCGGTGAGACTGTGGGGCTGGACGTGAGCCCTGTCACATATCCAGCAAGTGCAGGTTTTACATGTAGGGAAGCCATTCTGCAGATGCTGCAGCCCCCCCGACCCGACTGCCGCCCCCGCAGCACGCGCACACACACGTGCGCACCTATGGTCTGAGGTGTCATGAGCCCAGAGGGCTGAAAAGCATTTCTCTTAGACTGTATGATTTATAATGGTAAGAGAGATATATAAGCATTTCTATTATTATTATGGATCATTTTAATTATGTATATTTTTATGTAATTATATCTATCTATATATTCTATAATTATATAACTTTCCTTACGTGTTCATGTGAAACTTTGAGCCTTGAGACTTTTGTTTGCATTTCATGATTTTTATGAGGGCACATTTCATTAAGGAGCCAACCCAAACCAGACTGGGATTCTGAGATTCTGTGATTTTGTTCCATACCTTTAGCACTGGATGTAATTCTTAAATAATGGGCAAAATGAACCACAGATTCCTTCAAGTGCCAGTTATGTTAGTAGGGGTAAGACTGGAAAAGTAAATTGTGTTTTCTTCACCAGTGTCAGGAAACATGACCAAATTCAGGTTCCTCTTCATGCTGCAACAACAACCACCGCATCTTCAGGACCTGCGCATGCATCTTGTTCCAGTGCTAACTAGTGCAGTTAGTTAGTAACTACTGCTTGTGTCATAGCTACAGAAGATCCATCATGCCTCAAACCTTAAATGGTGGCAGGTGTGGGCATATATGTAAGAGCACCAAGTTTTTACAGTGATGCCTCTATCTTCTCTCTGGCTTTTTAATTTTACTGAGAACTAACTTAGTACCTTTCTGGCCTAGTTTTAGTTGTCAGTAAAGTCACTCTTTCCAGTTGTCTTCCTATTTTCTCAGTAGCCTTTGATCTGTAAGGATCCGTCCCAGCAGCTGTGGCTATCAGCTTCAATGTTTCTGGTGACTTTGCTGCTACAGACTCTAACCAGGAAAATACTGAAAACCTCTTGATAGCCTTCATGACATGATGTGATGTGGCTTGTTCTTCAGATGGCACCATGTCTTGAATGCAGACATCTGCTGCCAGTGACTACACCCACTTGCATTGGATGGGAGTCACCAATAGCTCCACAGGTGCAGCCCCAAACCAACATCTGCATAAAGGTAATGGAGAATAAATCTAACAAAAGAGCAATTTACCTCCTGGCATGCATGTTTCTAACAGGTGACTTCTGTAAAAATAGTTTGATCCAGCTTGGGTTTCTCTAATTGCATTGTGAGAGCTTTAAGGGTTAATAGGATTCAAACCACCTTGAATAGAAATAAGCATTAAAGGTAAACCATGTAAGCTGAGGAAGGCATGTTGAAGAGCACAGGAGGCAGTTGTGTGAAAGACAGGACACGTGCACTTGTGTTCAGTAGGGAGGTATTCTGTGATTCTATCATTTATGGCCTTAGTAGTACTGAGCATTTCATTAAATACGTCCTCATTACTCTGCTTCCCTCAGTTGATTGTAAGTGCTTGGCACAGATGGGCTGGTGGGCTTAACTAGACAAAATCTACCCTCCAGAATGCTCCTTACCCAAGGAGCAGGCTCATGATTCTCAGCTCTGGTGGAATCTGGCTTGTGAGATACAGTGACTGTGCTCGGGCACCCTCATGGGGATAAGAATTGTTTTCCTTGCAGACAGTGGACTTGCTTCTTTGTGTGAGTGCAGTGGCTAAGCAAACTGGCACTAGTCTATAGAAACATCTGGAGGTATTGATGCTGGATCTGCTGAGGGAACTGTACCATAGCTTAAAGTGAACTGTCACCAAGATCCAGGCCTAACTAAAACCTGAAGCCCACAGCACAGACTGGAAAGATCTCTTCTATCTGCAGGGCTGAATAAGCACAGCACTTTGTAAGATCAAGTCCTCTTCTTATTAGTGCTGTTCATAGTTTGCAGATACCATGTGAAACACATTTTTTCTCTTTTTAAAAGGGCAAAGTAATTTGTCAGGCGTGTGGCACGTGAAATCTTCACCATAAACACTGTGTGACTTGTGCAAGCAAGCTGCCTGAAATACAGATGCTGAGGCTTCTTGCATCAATCACAGCAGGGTTAATCAAATCAAAGCACAACATTCTTTTTCTCTGGAAAACTGAAGTCATAGCCCTGTGTCCCTGTTATAAAAGCAGAGATGCCCTCCCTCATGGGGTATTCAGGGCCCATACTCCCACAGAACCTCCATCACAAATGTCCAGCTCAACAGAAGCGTACCTTTGAGTTCCTCCTGTGGAAGTCAGGACTGTGTGTGCCACTGTGAAAGCTGAGAAGGCTCTTAGAAAATGGGTAGTCTTGGCTCCAAGAGAGTTTTGTTTTGTTCAGATTATTTTCAATTGCAGTAGAAAACTTGAGTGTCTGTATCAGGAAGACAATTTTGGTTGTTTTCCATTATTTTGTGAAAAGAAAATATTCTTTTACATTATTTTTCTTATCTCCATTTTCGTCTCCATCTCTATGTGCATACCGCTCCTGTGCTTGGATTTGGCTGTGACTGTGTAACGGATGGGAGCCTCGCTGAGAGTTGATTCCCTCTCCTGACTGAGAGACAACCCAGTGTGGGTTTTTCACAGTGTATTTGGCAGAGTCCATGTGTGTATGTTCATGGTGACTGTTTGTCAGAAAGAGGCAGGAAACCATGAGGGTGCAGCTCTCCTATGAGCTTCCTGCTTGGGCACGCTGGGCCACCTGGCCAATGCTGTCAGTGCGACCAACACTGAGATGATGAGGAACTGCACGGGCCCACGAGTAAACAGTGGCAGAGCTGGCATAAAGCCCCTTGTGTTTCTAAGGGTACAAAAGCAGGAGCCTCTTGTAGCTGACTCCGAGGCCTCACCTATGTGTGGATGGACCTCGTAGGAACTTTCCTGATTACCTGAGTCTCCCGGCAATGGCTGCAATGGGGCTTCCCAGCTGAAGTGTGGGCCTGGAGGATGGTTTGATGATGACTGGTGATGTCTTTCTTCTAAGTCTCTGGTCTCTCTATGCAGTATTGATCTGATGCAGTGCTAATTGTCATCTGTACTTTACTTATATACATGTACACAATTTGTTTTATTGTACTTACTTACTGTATAGAAATATCTACCCAGTTCGCTTTACTGTGCTTGTTTGCTTTAGTGTGCTTGTTTAATCCACTGTGCATGTTGTACAGCGAGTGTGTGATCGTTTTGTTGAGTACCCTGCCTGTCAGCAGAACACTTGTGTACCCAGCAACCTCCCTGCCTCTCTTACAGACACCAGGTCCTGCTGCTTTCCCCAAGGTGGAACTGGACGTCTACGGAAAAGGACCTACCATGTACAGGATGGAACCAAAAGCAGCCTTGGAGGAGACAAAACAGCGAAGGGAGGGCCAGCAGCCTGCCGCCCAGGCAAGGTAAGGCAGCCTGCCCACCTCTCCTCCTCTGCTTCGCAACTACCAGCCTTTGAGCATCCCCACCTTCTGTTGGGGCTTCTGAGAACACACGACCACCTTAGTGGAGTGACCAGCGACAGGACAGCAGGCCTGCTCCCCTGCCTTGGCCCAAAAGGGCAGGAGGCACAGGGCGTCCAGTGCAGGCTGGACCTGGAGCTGTGATAGTCCCTGAGCCAGGAGCTGCCCTGCTCTTGGGAACCTTCTCTGAAGCTGTCTTTGTACCCAGCCTGGATGTGCTGGGCTTCCTCCATCTGCTATGGCCCTCAGTAGGGAGTGGGGGCACTTGCTGGATCTGCTGCTGCACACCTGAAGGGAAGTGGACTTGGAGCTGTGACTCCTTCTGCTTCACAGGGGAATGGTTCAGAGAAGTCATCCTTGTGGGCATAACTGAAAGGGCCTTATTAATAACCAGTGGTAATTAATCAGAGACTGAATTAAAATCACATGGGAATCCAATGGTGATTAAGCAAGAATTGAATTTTATTTCAACAGTGGTTTGACAGTGATTTGATTGTGTAAAGGATAATTCAGACAATGATTTAGACAATGAGTTTGCCTTCCAGGACCTAATGGGATGCCTACAAGAAAGCTGAAGAGCAAT